AATCAGATTGCAAAGTTTAACATGATTAAACCAAGTTCACTGATTACCAGTCCTGGGTAAGTCACAACAGGCATTGTCTGGCTTGAACCTTAAATGACTACTATGCACAATAGCTATTTTTGATAACTAAGACAATGTATCTTTAAGTCCTTCAATATCTGGGCAAATCACTGCAGCATAATTCCTCTAATATACATGTAGTGGTTCAACCTTACTTCTCATCTGAAGCTCTGCATAGCCCAGCAATCATGAGGGTGATAAAAACTTCTAATATATCAGTAGTCAAGTTCAGTGGACATATATAAGAAGAAGAAATACAAGAGAAAATGTAAAATGAAGAATTAAGGACTGAATTTCAATGACTGCTGACAGAATTTAACACTTAAATGCTTGCTTGGTAAAATGAGTTTGCAAGAAAGGAGAATAATAGATACAAAAGCAGCCTTAAGGAAATGCAAGTAATTAATGATATAAAAGTATTAAGTAAGTGCAAGCGTGCATGTGTGCATGCGTGGGTGGGTGCATGTGTGTATGCGTGGGTAGGTGCATGTGTGGATGTGTGCGTGGATGTGTGCGTGTGTGGATGTGTGCATGTGTGGATGTGTGTGTGTGGATGTGTGCGTGCATGGATGTGTGCGTGCGTGGATGTGTGCATGTGTGGATGTGTGCATGCGTGGATGTGTGCACGCGTGGATGTGTGCGTGTGTGGATGCGTGTGTGTGTGTGTGTGTGTGTGTGTGTGTGTGTGTGTGTGTGTGTGTGTGTGTGATGTTGTGTATAAATATATACATGTTCATTCATAGTATATGATACTGAAAACATCTGCGTGGAAAAAAAATGCTTTTCATAAAGCTCAATATTTTTATAAAGAGATAGAAATACTAATGTTTCTATAGCAAGACACCATGGTAATTATGACATATAAACCTTGAGTTATAATAGATCTGCAATATTCAGAAAAGCTCCTATAAATTAATTGCATACATTGCAAGAGTTTATAGAATATTTTAAAAGCTACAATTAAACACAAAATCACTTCAGTTTGCTTTATTTATCAAAATCTGACTAGATATCAAAACAGTCTAAAAATTTACAATCCTTATACAAAAATGTTATCTGTATATATATAATTTAAATTTAAAAACTCATTCAGTTTAACAGAAAAAATACTGGCCATACATTAGATAATTTGTGCAAGTCAATGGCAAATAAACATTATCTAACAGTATCATAAAAATTCATATATGATGACAACTGCAAGGAATTCAGCATAGTCATGAGATATGAGAACCTACTGGTACTACATTACTTTGAAAAAGATAAGATACAAAGTGATTTAACACCAATCCTCTTCTACTTGGGTTTCAGAGCTAAAATAGGAGAAAAAAATACCTCATATCCCCTAATAATAAATCTTAGTTCATGATCCATCACATGATTACTACCTGATGAATTATTGGCACTGAAATATTCTTATTTTTGAGCAAGTTTCCCTGTATCACTATGTAAGCTATATTACAGAGCATCAGTATTTAGTCATAAAACAAATGGCAGATGATTTGGAAAGTTACTGATCAGTGTCACAAACGGTATAACTTGTTTATGACTTTATATATCTGGAAGTATATGTAGTCTCTTATACAGTCATTAATAATCTGATTATCAGAAATTATACAAAATTCTGTAACCACATAAAGGAACATCATCACAGTGGATGGTGATAATCTTTACCCATTTTTAAAAAATAATTCTCTCTCTAATGAGCATTCTCTATCTTCACACAGAATTCTTAAGATTAAAACTATAAGTTCTGCTCTTATTCTATGAGACAGAAGAATATAAATTCTTGTATAAGACTATACATGTCCATGAAATATAATTCACTTTGTTATAAAAAGTCAAGGGTACATTCAATGATGAATTTAAAAACACATTTACATGATAAACATCCTGAGCTTAAACTTTATAAAATACAAGACTCTCATAAACAAAATATTTAAAAATTATAATAGTGGATTTGAACCAAGTCAGACAACCATTGAAAAATCTGAATACTTCAACATTACCTACAGCAACCATTTGACTAAATCCTATTAGTCCATTAGATTGTGTAGGACCTTCTTGGTTCCTTCATATGCAAGGAAAAGTGCTCCAGTTGCAGGAAACGTTCTCACCACAGTGGGCCCTAACCCATTATAAAGAGCAGCCACACCTGAAAATAAAATCAGTTTATGTATGGGATGTTTAACAAAACAGGCAACATTAACTTTACTCTTTCTTATGTAAATGACTTTTCCTATGAAATATCTAATTTTAAACAAAATGAATCTAATGGACATTCCTTCAATTCCCTCTATCAGATATAGGCAGAAATTAAGTGAATTTTGTCGAACACAGATGGATCCACAAGAGTTTAGCTGCCAAGGAGTGCATTAGTAGCTCAGTGTGACCTCACTTCCCAGCACAATTGTGTCCTTGAAACACTATTTATAGATAAATGAACTAACTGTTCTTTGAAAAGTAAAAGGATGATAAACCTTAATTCAAGAACGAAATTACTATTTCTAAATTATCATGTACAAAAACAGACTGATTTCCTAAGATACATAATAGCTCTTGATGTCCATTAACCCAATGTCGACAGAAAAATGGTACGTTCCCTTTGGCAATACTTGGTTAAATATTTCTACAAATAGATGGCTCTGCTATCAATATTGACACTGTTATTTTCTTCAGAAACATTATAATTACTATTGTTACTGACATTACTAACAGCAATATTAAATGTTAGAAAATATTATCGAAAATCAAGGAAAAGGATAAACAGGTTAGACAGGTAGTTCGCGTAATTGGCTCATTGGTGACAGTACTTGTGGAGCCATCTATATGTAAAAACAATTACTAAATTCACCACAGAATGGCCAATGGCATGTACGTATATGCCATGCCCGGCGGCTTGGAGTTAATACTAGAAGTGACAAATACTGACATATTACTATACATGAGAAAGAATTGATAAAAAAGAGTAAAGAAAATGTAAAATATTATATTTACAGTCACTGACTCTGCACTGACCTCTTAAGAAAATATCAGATGTCAGATTTGGGTGATATCTTTTTTAAACACTTAATCACATTTTTCTTCATAAATAAAAACCTCTAAAGACAAGCATAAATAAGATGCAACTGACATAATTAAAACATGTGGGATTAACACCAAGTAGCAAAAATAAATATAAGAAATTTCCTTTTATCTTTGTATAGTTATCATTTGGTTCATAATAGCATTTGGTTAAATGAATTTATAAATCTTCAAACATAACTATAAGTTAAGAAAAAAATACAGTAGTCACAATGATAGAAGTAACAACAAAAGTTTTAATGACTACCAATTCACACTAATTATCCTTGTCTCTGTGAAAATCAAAGTAAATATTTGCAATACTGTATTCAGTTAACAGGTTATTAGCAAAAGGATGTGCTAAGGCATTCCATTGTTATAACAATTAATAAAAATAAAGAAATAATTTAGGAAGATTTTGTCATAACTGTAATATGATGGTTATTGCAACTGATGCTAAGAGCAAAACCCACCTTCAGTTCTTAAGATTTGCCTCGTAACAGTTATCATTGGCTCAGTCGAACCTGCAACTTGTATCCTTGATTTTACAACATCAGTTGGGAAGATGGCTGTCCACAGAATAACTCCCGCAATGCCACCGCAGATCATTGTCTTTAGAGGACCTATTTAGAAAAATAAATACATTTAATTAATTTCTTCCTGTGAAAAACACTAATACATCTACAGAAAACTTTTTTCATGAACCAAAAATTCACAAATTTATCAGTAAAACAGACAGATGAATAAATATATCAGAAATTTATCAATATACTATCAAAAAAACATCTAAAATATTGCCAATGACCTACCAATTTCATCTTTGGTTTTCCCAGGAGGAGTCATGAGTGCTCGACTGGCCTCATACCCTCCAAAGAAGAAGAAATAACCAGGCATTTCTCTTGCGAAGGTTGAGGTTAGGCCTCGGAAGAGCCCTGGAATACCGTCACTCTTTAAAATCTGTCTCGTGAGCTTCCAGGGTCCTATCCTTTCCTGCATCAAAATAAAAGTGTAATTTTTGAAAGGGCCCTTTTTCTCACTCTCTCTATCCCTGTCTCTGTCTCTGTCTCTGTCTCTATCTCTATCTCTATCTCTATCTCTACCTCTACTCCACTGCCTCTCCTCCCCTCCCTCCCCTCTCTCTCTCTCTCTCTCTCCTCCTCCTCCTCTCTCTCTCTCTCGTCTCTCCTCGCTCTCTCCTCTCTCTCCTCTCCCTCTCTCTCCCTCTCTCTCTCCTCTCTCTCCTCCTCTCCTCTCTCTCTCTCTCTCTCTCTCTCTCTCCCTCTCTCCCTCTCTCTCTCTCTCTCTCTCTCTCTCTCTCCCTCTCCCTGCCTCTCTTCCTCCTCCTTTTCCCTCTCTTCTCTGTCTCCACTCAAAAAAGCAAGAGCCTTCCCTTGAATGCATTCATCCAAACTTTCAAAGGCATTCTATTTTTGCCCTTTGCATATCTGGTAAAAATTGTTAGTTTATTAACAATTTATCCCTAGAAATACAGTCCATTGCATTAACAACAACAACAAAATAAAAAAAGTATCATTCGTATTGTCCATACTACTTACAGGTTCCTTATTCTGCATTGCTGCCATTTCCCTCATAGCTTGCAGGCGACACTTGACCAACTCTGTTGGACAGAGAGTCAGGGAGGAAAAAAATGCCGCAAAGAATCCAGCAGATGCATTTGAAAAAGTCGAAAGGTCCTCCACTTTCTGTTGAGCAGGAAATTCAATTTAGTTACCTTATTTTCTTAGTATGATATATATAAAAGAAAATTACATGACAAAATATAAAATAAGATAAATAACCTACTAATACTAAAACGGATAAAAGTAATATGGCAAATAATGATGATGATAATAATGATAATGAAGATAATAATAAAAATGATAAGGAAATGATAATGACGAAGATGATGATACTGATGATAATATCAATAATAATGATGATAATAAAAATAATAATAATAATAATAACAGTGACATCACTATCTTCATTAACATCAAAATACTAGTATATAATTATCCAAATTTGTATCTACCAATGACATTTACAATTACCTTTACAAAGATATAGGTTGATGAAAATTTTAAAGAAATAAACAAATGAAAAAATCTAACCTGCACACCAGTAGAATATGCCACAGCCTTCTGACAAACACCATAAGCCGCAAAAAGAACAGAATTTTCAGCAATATTTGCAGCGAGGGCAGGAACTGTGCCTGCATAGAGCCCCCTGACACCATCCCGTTTCAGAGTCTGGGAGAAACATCCTACCATGCCACGGTAAAGATCAGGAAAAGTCTGCATTTTGACTTTGACCGTATCCAGAGGCTGACCAACATATACACTTGCGACACCCCCTTAGGAAAAGAAAATTATATTCTTATATTTTATTTCATTCAGCGACTCAACAGCAGCATTATATTGATAAATGGTTATGAAAAGATCTATAGAGGCTTGAACTGAAAAATATAGTGATTATGGGATTATGTTATATCACATGTGGATATAGTTACTCTGTAGTAAGACCTACTTTTATCTCAAATATACATCCAGGATAATCTTTTTCATTCTTATAAATGTTACTCTTTCATATCATACAAAAATATTCCTACTATTTTTTTCATATCTTAAAAACTTGACAGTGACTGATCCAATTCAGTTAGTTAACCAAATGACCATATGTATATGTAATGTCCACTGTAGTTTTTAGTTAATTTTGTTGCACACAGATGGCCCTACAAGTGCTCAGCCACCAAAGAGTCAATTAGCAGGCCCTAGTGACTATGCCTGATTGCCTCATTCCTTGAATTTGTAAGAAAACTTTTTTTGGGTAATGTTGTTAATATTGTTATCATTATCACTGACATTATGGTTACTGTAACACAATCAAATCCTAATAACAATAAAATCATAATATAATGAAAAATTCTTTTCTAAAAAATCAAGGAAAAGGTTAAACCAAGGAGATAGGTAGGACTAATAATTGACTCCTTGCAGAGATATGACTGCATAAACATATTTAATAAACTGAAATTCCAGAGGACATGACTTTATGTTATGTCATTCACACCCATTGGATTAATAGCGATGCCCAGGGTCCACTACCCCGGCTCAGTTGTCCATCCTCCCATTTGAATTACATTACAATTACCCTCCCCCAAGCTTTTTGACTCTAGGCTATCTTCAAAACATTCATAAAGATATTGCAACTGCATAACAATAATTAACAGACTTCCAAAGTGATCACAGACTATAGATCATCAATGTCCATGAAGTTTACATAATGTGTTTGATCATAAAAAAATAATAATAATAAAAAAAAAAAAAAAAAGAAACCCCAATGAATAGCTAAATTATATCACATTCTTTTTTACATTTCTATCTTGACATCAATCAAGCTAAACAGACAATATCCTCAAATATAAAAAAGTCATTCCTTACCCATGGAGCCACCCATGAGATCAATAAACGTGTCCTTGTAATGCTGCATGATGACGGGTCCGATGTTCTCCTTCAATACAGGCCAAAATACTGAAAAAATTTACTGTTTTAACAATGATGTTGATAGTGGTGGTGGAGGTGAAGGATAATAAGATGATGATAACAATGACAATGATGGTAATGACAATGATGATGATGATTATAACAATGTGATAATGATACTATTACTACTACTACTACTAACTATTACTACTACTACTACTACTATCACTATGATATTGATAATGGTAATAATAATAATAATAATAATAATAATAATAATAATAATAATAATAATAATAATAATAATAATAATAATAATAATAATAATTATTATTATATTAATTATTATAATATAATAATTATAATATAATAATAATAATAATAATAATAATAATAATAATAATAATAACAATAATAATAATAATAATAATAATAATAAATAATAATAATAATAATAATAATAATAATAATAATAATAATATAATAATAATAATAATAATATAGTAATAATAATAACAACAAACAATAATAATAATAGTAGTAGTAGTAGTAATAATAAGAGCAATAACAAGAGCAATAATTATAAAAAAAAACAATAATAGTAATAATAGTAATAATAATAACAACAATTATAATAGTAATAACAATAACAATATAATAAACAATATAAATAAAATATAATAATAACAAATAATAATAAAATAAAATAATATAATAATAATAATAATATAATAATGATGATGATGATGAAATGATGACAATGATGATGATGATGAAATGATGATGATGATGATGATGATGATGATGATGATGATGATGATGATGATGATGATGATAGCAATAGTAATAGCAATATCAATAATAATGATAATATTAATAATAATAATATTATTATTATTAA